TTATGTTTATTTACCGCATTATTCATCGCATGGATCACAAGCATAAATAAACCTAACATACATCTAATGCATGCATACGGTGGGATGATCATGTCCTTGCCTATAGGACCCATTCGAGCCAAAATGGGTCTATGCCTATGTACGTGATAAAATAAATAGAACTACTTCTATTACAATTTATTTTATCTACCCGTACAAGCACAGGCCTTCGAGATTTACAACTTGTAAAATTACCCACACAGACGTGGGCCTTTTGCATCGAACGGTCTCCACCTTGATCTTATCTTTTAACGATACAAATTCCGTTCAGTCACATTGAATAAAATGCAATCATTCATCCATATTAAATGAAACATTCAAATATTCAATCATATTGAAAAATGCAACATTCAATCATGTTGAATAAAAGACTCATGATCATCCCTAAGTTAAAACATTCATCACATGAATTAAAACATAAAAGGCTCATTCCACCTGACACGGCCCGTGTCAGAGGTCGTGTCACTTGACACGGCCTCTGACACGCCCGTGTCAGAGATCATGTCAATATGCCGAGAGCAACTTTGAACAGCATTTTTAGTCACTCAACCTAACACGGCCCGTGTCAGGGGTCGTGTCATCTGACACGGCCTCTGACACGCCCGTGTCGGAGGTCGTGTCAGCTAGGGTTTAGGGTTTAGTAAATCAAAATATATTTTATTTATTTAGGTTAATTCGATTTACAATTATATCTATTTTGTTTTGAATATACATAATTTATCTAAGAATAGTGAACTTTAAAAAACATAACGTTGCACTTTATAAAATGACCCATTGCACTTTATCAACATACCCCACAAAATTAATGTTTTGGTTTCGACTTTACAATATAAAAAAAAAAAACAAAATAACAAAACAATCGAATTAAATAAAAATATTATAATTATATATTTATGTTTAAATATATTGTTATATTCAGTCAAATACAATGATTAAAAAAATATTAACATGCGAATATATTTTCATAATAAAAAGTAACAACTTATTTCAACTCTTTAGGTTAATTATATGTACAATTAAATCTACGAAATCTAGTTTACAAAAACACATAATTTATATGTGATCATATTGTTGAGTTCGCCTGTACCGTACGGGTTATACGCAGCAAAAATTATGTTTCAAAAACAAGTATTTATCATATAAATACTCAACCCATACATACATATAGAGAATTAACCGATCGTCATCATTTAAAAACATGTAATAATACAAATTATGATTTGTTGTAAGTAATTTCGAAAATTACCTTAGTTCTTGAACTCCTTCAAAAACCGATGATGATTGAGGAAATCAATTCCCGGTTTGGTAACGTCAACTCCTTGATGTTACTCGCTTTAGGAATTCAAATGTCTTCCCTCTAATCGTATCCACCTTTTGAAGTCCGGTTCCGACAATAGTTCCTTCGCTAGTAGAAACTACTCGATTATTTAATAAGTATGGAATATATATATTTATAAGAAAATTTTCAAGAACTCTTTCTTGATATATCACTCAACTCTTTGAATGTATTTTTCTATTGGAAGAACTTAGTTCAAAACTTAGCAATTTATGTGCAAACATTTTGCACCTATTTATACTAAACATTTTAGCATAAAATAATCAATATTTGATATTTATTTAATTTTAAATAAAATCAGATTTTATTTAAAAATTCATACCAAATATTTACTTTTAATTAATAATGTGGAGTGGTTTATAACCACCATCAACCACCATTATTTTGTCTCTCAATTATTTGAATCTTTAATCATATTAAAGATAAAATAATAAAATATTAATTCTTGAAAACATTTTTCAAGACTTTACTATTTTAATCTTTTCTTTCAATTTCCTTATTTAATAATCATATTATTATTTGGATTTGAAATTTAAAATTCAATTTTAAATCCAACTATTAATTAGTAATTCCATTAATTACTAAATTTATATCCAAGATTCAATTAATCAATCCAATTGATTAATTTAATTTATTCCTTTAATTGACATCTAATCAAATTAGATTTGTCAATTAATTCTAACTCTTTAGAATTACTATTTAAATTTTACCTTCATTCGAAAATTGGTGTGACCTTTTAGGTTCACAATTAATACTAGTAGTGGGTTTACAACTCTTTGTAATTTGAGTTATTCATATTAACTCTTATTCTTGAATTAACTCTTTAATTCAAGAATCCACATATCATGGGAACATCTACCAAGTAGCATAAATCTAGTATTAAGTGAATAGCGAGTAAACCTATTTCGATTACAACTCCATACATGTAAAATCCTTTCGACATCCAATTTCCCGATTAAATCTTTGGGTATGATTTTGTCGAAACCCAAATTGATTTAATAACTATGATTCCATTTCAAGTTTAGTAATTCGTTTATGAATCTCTATTCATCCCGCCTTGGCCAAGGACTTTGAATTACTAACTATGAAACACATAGGAAATTCACTTATCTTCATAAGTGTCGAATCCTTTGTTGGCCACTAACAAACTTCCATACATATTAATATAATACCCAAAATATCCATTTATACGATTGTGCTAGCAATCAAAAGGATAAATCAAAGTAAACTATAATATGCACAAAGTTACCATTGTGCCTCAAGTCTAAGGATTAGTCATGTACTATTGTAACATGAAAATTCTTATTCGACATTTAAACTTTCATTAAGAATTTTCATACGGTCATGTTCAGTGAACTTGTTCTCTAACAAGCACCTACATATATGTATTTGCGTCTCACGCTAATGTTGATGGAATGCAACATTCTTATCTAATAAGCATATATACTATGTGCAAGTCTTTTCCGGATTTATTCGATATCCCATCTTGAAACATCCAACGACTTGGAACTGTATTTAAGATCACAGCTTTCAAGATATGTTCCATGATCACCATCTCTATGCGCAACCATATCTTATAGCTATAAGTGATCTAGGGACTTTATCTTAAGTGCAAATATATGATAAATGCTTACTCTTAAAATAAAGTAATGCCTATTATTCAATATAATCCCAATAGATTGTATTTACAAGTAGAATACGTCCAATCAGATTGGAACGCTGGGTATACTACTCTAACACATATAAAGTGTTGCACTTTATATATCAACACACCGCACTCTATAAAGCAATATGTTGCACTTTATAAAACAACATTTTGCACTTTATCACCACATTTCGCA